AAACAGCTCACCCAGACCCCCATACAATAAAGCTGTTACCAAATGCTACCCACTCATTCAGAATTCCTATTCGGTTTTTTTCCCTCTAATCTTAATCATGACCAGGAATTTCATGAGCAGGAAAAGACAGGAATTTCCAAAGATCTGAGGAAAGTTTCTATCATATAAGTCCAAAACAGACCAAAAATAACTAACTAACTAACTAAATAAATAAATAAATAAAAGCAACTTAAAGAAAAACCAAAGCTCGGGGGGTGGGGGGGAGCCTTAGAGGCAAAATGAAAACTCAATAGGTCAGAAGATAAAATTAGGGAAATCTCCCAGAAAGTAAAATGCCACAGAAATGGAAAAGAAACATAAGAAAATTAGAGTACTAGTCCAGAGAGCTCTACTCCAAATAAAAGTTCAAGAGAGAAAGAGGAGAAAACACAAGGAAATAAAAATAATTTTTTAACAATTTCCATACTCCAGCTCTCTTGGGGGGAAAAAAAAATCCTGAAATAAAAGACATAAGCCTCCCGACTGAAAGGACTCAATGCAATGGATGAAAATAGATCTATAACAAACACCATTATGCAGTTTCAGGACACTGAAGACAGATTCTACAGACTTCAAAAAAAAAAAAAAAAAAAAAGACCAGTTATATACAAACTATCAGCAATCAGAATGGCTTTGGATTCCCAAACAGCAAAATTGGAAATGGAAATAAATGGAAAAAAAACCCTTTAAACTTCTGAAGTAAAATAATCTACAACCTAGAATTCTATACCCAGTGAAGCTATCAATCCAATATGAGAGTAGAATACATTTCCAGACATCCAAGTTCTCAAAATTTACATCTTACACCCCATTTCATGAATTACTGGAGGATGTGATCCACAAATATGTGAATAAAAGATACAGGAAAGGGCAATTTAACATTGGATGGAGAGAAGGGAATTACCAGGACGATAGCTAGGCACCAGAACCAGAGAGCAACCAGGCCAGGTTGGAGTTGTGTGCGATTAAAGACACAGGCACGTTGAAGGCTATCACAACCTACTCACTTCCTTTGAAATCTTGGGGTATTATATCCAAGGAAGTCTGGCTCCCATTCTCTTGTATACTTGGTGTGTTTAGCCATGTTCCAATAACGTGCCTGCTGTCCCCTGCCTGGACGTATCGGTTGAGGACATTCATTTTATCCCACAAGAAGTTTCTGCATTGATCTTGAGATACAGAGGCAGGTCATGGTGAGCTTAAAAGCAGAAAATATAAAACAAGCATGCAATCCTCTAAGCATATTTCTGCAGATCCAGGATGCCTCAACTGTGGTGACTTGTGTTTGTTAAAACTTACTTATCACCTTGCTCACTGACATCTACACATGAGTCTCTTGTAAACCTAGAAGTGTTAGTCAGACCCAGGGACTGTTCACAGTTTGTCTTCTCTAGAATTCTTTCAAGTAATGGTGTCAATTATTGCCCTCAAAAAGTTAGGTTTGTGCTTGTTCCTCAGTTGTTCAAAACTAAACAAGACATTGTATTTATGGCTACCATACAGGTAATTTTTAAAAAAGAAATAATTTATTTGTTTCATATACCACCTTAAGTACAGAGCTTTAAGGTAATTTTTTTTCTATAAAGGTTTTGTAGAGTCAGGGACTCACTATGTTGTCCAGGCTCTCAAATTCCCAGTCTCAATTGATTCTCCTGTCTTTGTCTCCCAAAATGCTGGGATTGCCTGGTTGGCAATCTTATACAATATTTGAAACCATTTTGTGCATGAAACAAAGTCTGTGCTAAGAACTTATATGTGGAATTTTCTTCTTGTGATGTCACATTGGCACTCAAAACATTCTGAATTTTGGAGCATCTCAAATTTCAGAATAGGGAAACTCAACCTGTATGACAGCATGGATAGTACCTAAGAATTACCTGAAAGAGTGGAATAAAATTGAAGATGGGCCCACAGGTAATTTCTATGTTCTATTCTTTAGTTTGAATAGTAAATGTTAGCTTTATTATATATTTTCCCATAAACCTCACAATTAAAATGTAAGGCCATTAGAATTTTTAGCTTTTCCTACCCTTTAACTGGAATAAGCTTGATAAAGCACACCTATGTCAACACACATGAAGAAACAATACTGAAGTCTTGAAAATGTAACAGTAAAGTTATAAGATGGTTAGAGTTCTGTCCTTTACCTGAGAGGATCTGATGACATCACAAAGAAGGTATGGATACAGGGCATCACAGGTAACACACACCAATGGTAATAGTATTTGAGATACTTAATCTTACAAAATAACAGTACAGATGGCCCCCAACTTACAATGGCTCAGTTTACGACTTTTCAACTTTGCAATGGTGCAAAAAGTGATACACATTCAGTAGGAGGTGTTACAATACTCTCCTGATGCTGGACAACAACAGTCAGCTTCCCTACCCAGTCATTCAAGTGATCATGAGGGCGAACAACAGATATTCTACATTGTACTGTATTGCCAGATTGATTTTGTCCAACTGTAGGTAAATTTAAGTGTTCTGAGCACGTTTAAGGTAGGATGGGCTAAACTATGATCATCTGTTAGGCTACGTGTATTAATCACATTTTTGACTTACCGTATTTTCAACTTATGTGGATGCAAACCCATTATAAGTGGAGGAGCACCTACGGCACTAAAATATGTGACAAAGTGATTTTAAACAACCATAGACCCTCTTTTCTGTGGTGCCTCGGGGGAGATCAGCTACTTCACGATGAAGCTGAACATCTCCTTCCCAGCCACTGGTTGCCAGAAGCTCATTAAAGTGGGTGACAAATGCAAACTTCATACTTTTTATAATAAATGCAGGGCCACAGAACTTGTTGCTGACACTCTAGGTGAAGAAGGGAAGGGTTGTGGTCCAAATCAGTGGTGGGAACAAAAAACAAGTTTTCCCCATGTGGAAGGCTGTCTTGACCCATGGCCATGTCCATCTGCTGCTGAGTAAGGGCCTTCCTGTTATAGACCAAGGAGCACTGGAAAAGAAAGCACAAGTCTGTTCGGGGTTGCACCATGGATGCCACTCTGAGCATTCTCCACTTGGCTATTGCAAAAAAAAAGAAAAGAGAGGATGGATATTCCCAGGTTGACTGAATCGACTATGCCTCGTCAACTGGGGCCCAAAGAGCTAACACAATCTGCAAACTTTTCAATCTCTCTAACTAAAGAAGATGATGTTTACCAATATGTTATAAGAACACCCTAGGACCAAAGCACCCAAGATTCAGTATTTCATTACTCCATGTGTCCTGCAAAACAAATGCTGACATACTGCTCTGAAGAAATAGCATACTAAGAAAAACAAGGAAGAAGCTGCAGGTTACACTAAACTTTTGGTCAGGAGATTGAAGGGGGACAAAGAAAAATGCCAGGAACAGATCATCATCTTGGAGACACAGGCTGTCCTTTGTAAGCTGCTACTCCTAAGTCTGAGTCTAGTCAAAAATATTTTTGAGTAACAAATTAGATCAGACACCCCCACCGTACCTAAAAATCAATCATGGACAGTGCTTAAACGAAATAGTTGTTTTAAAATACAAGAGACAGGCTGGGCGTGGTGGCTTATGCCTATAATCCTAGCACTTTGGGAAGTGAGAGGATTGCTCAGGTCCAAGGGTTTGAGACCAGCCTGGGCAACTTGGCAAGCCCTCATCTCTACAGTAAAATAAAAAAAGAATTAGCTGGGCATGGTGGCATATGCCTGTAGTTCCAGCTACTCGGAAGGCTGAGGTGGAAGGATCACCTGAGCCCAGAAGGTTGAAGCTGTGGTGGCTGTGAAAGTATGACTGCACTTCAGCCGGGGTGACAGACTAAGACTCTGACTCAAAAAAGAAAAAAAAATACAAGAGAAAAACTCATGATTTTGCTCATCTGTGATCTCTTAGGCCTTTCTTTCTTCTCACTAGCCCCAGTAAGTCTGTCTACTGCTCTTTCTGCATTTAAGTAATTCTCTTCTGAAATGTCTTTCCCATCTATCCATTCATTCATACACGACTTAGTGACTGTATCCTGAATGCTAGGCACTGTTCTAGACTCTGGGGATAAAGCAATAAACAAAACCTTGGGGTTTGTTCTAGCGAAAGGAGACTGAGAAAGTCGCCTGTGTTAATGGGTGCTATGGAAAATAAAATGCAGGAGGACCAAGGATACAGGGGAGGGATGTATGTACTAGTTTAAAATACATACTCAGGGAAAAGCCTATAAGAAAGGTGACAACTGAACACCAACCTTGAGGAAGGTTTGCACTAAGAGCCTTTCAGGGGGAACAGCAAGCACCAAGATACTGGTTACAAGTGGCAGCATCGTGAGTTACATTTTGCTGCGTCTACCCTGCCTCCTCAGATGATGTGGTGCCTAGACACAAAAACCCTCCAATCTCTTTGGACTCCAATATTTAGCATGGATCTTTCACATTCAGTTCCCAACTTTTTTTTTTTGAGTCAGGGTCTCACTCTGCTGCCCTGATTGGAGTGTAGTGGTATGTACACAGCCTTGACCTCCTGGTCTCTGGTGATCCTTCCACCCCAGTTTCCTGAGCAGATGGGATACTGGCGCACACCAACACATCTAGCTAATTTTTAAATTTTTTGTAGAGATAGTTTTGAGAACCTTTAATTGAGATAGCTACCAAAACAAATGGTCAATTCTTTTAGTATTTACATTCCCCATACTAACATAAACCATCATCTGACCCTTTGCTTCACAGGCTGGCATTTAAATACTGTACACTCTCTCCAGTATCCTACTTTTGCAATGACAAACTCTTCAGACAAGGTTTTTCGAATCATGTTGGTATAATAACTAACACTATCAGTTTTTACAACTCTTTAAAGAATCCTACAATAATTTACTTAGATCTAAATGGATCACATATGGTAAAACAAACTAATACGTCTCAGCTTTGGAAAAGCCATCATCAAATGATTGCAGATGAAGACACTTTCTAGTAATTTAGATGTAAATGTAGCTTACCTGCCAGAAATGGTTCTGCCCCAGCCATTCTGTTCCTAACTCAGACCAACAGTGTCCACAGATTTTTCAGCAGTCCAGATAACAACACAATAGTCAGGGACACATAAACCAGGACCACTAATCCATTGCAAGAAGCCACAGTTTACCAAATAATTAACAATTGTGATGGTGTCATTGCCCAAACCTTGCAAAGGTTTAAAGAAGTTAAAACAAAAAACAACTCATCAAAAACAGGAAAAGTTTTCAATTATGTATTTTAACCAAGTGTGAATGGTGCCAAGCATTAAATAATGTTGAGAAAACAAACTTAAACTGAAGTAAATATTTCTGATTTTGAGAAAGGGACTCATTGAAGAGAAATACATTTTCTTGACTATTTCTTCTACTATTCTGTTTCCTGCCTCTATTCCTAAATCCCAAAAGCAAGTCACACAGTAATATAACAAGAAATATGAGTTCAAACAACCTTAATATTGTTTTATCATCCTTTTGAAATAGTCCTTTGTATACACAAGGGACTAATTCACTTCCTAACAGTGAAAACTTCTCAGGAAAACTCATCTTGCCCCTGAACAGAATAAATTCACCATTTCAAAACTGAGTTTAACCAGACCACTTTTCTACTTACAGCAAATTAAACCATGTAATTCCTGAAAAGGCATGGAGAGGTTTCAAAGAAATATTTGAGAACATCTGCAAAAAACAACTATGACAACCATACAAATAAATGAATGTACCAATTCCATTCAAGTTATGAAGCTATTTTTCCTTTAATTTATCCAAACATTTCACATTCATGAAGTCATTTATTTATTTCAGAGCAAATCTAAGCTTTAATATTAACCTTTAAAATATTACAATATTTACAAGATGGTTGGTAGGGGTAAGTAACTAGCTGGTATAAAAAGAATACAAATATTGTATTTTTCTCTTTAATATCTGCCAGTAAAAATGGCAAACAGTTTTGCCTCTCTGGAGATTCTAGTTAATTACTGCATATAATGAGAAACCCTTAACAGGGAATGGCACCTTACTCTAAATGTTCCACTGTCTACAGCTTTAGACCCTCAACATTTTTCTTCAAGTTCAGCAGCTCTTTTTCCTGTCTCTTTTTCTCCAGTTTAAATGCTAATTTGTTAGCTTTCTTCTCCACTCTTCGTTCCTGTGCAAGAAAATACTAGTATTATTCAAATCTTTAAACTAACAGACAGTTTTTATGAAAGAAAATTCCCATAAATTTCCCTCCACCAGTTCTTTGTAAGTCTCATATTTGAAAAATATATTTTACCTTGCGCTCTTCTTTTATAGCTTGCTTTCTTGCTTTTTTATCTTCTTTGCTTTCATTTTTAGATCGCGGTTGGGTTGATACCTTAGGCAGATCACTGTCATTAATCATCTGCATTCGCTCAGCTTGTTTTGCTGTGAGTCCTTTCTTAGGTAAGACATTGAGAGGTATTCCTGTTTTAGAAGATACCTGAATTTGTTTGGGCTGAAAAAAAGATAAAATGGCATTCATGTTTCTTATTCCTATTAAAAAATAGCTCATTAATGACATACAACATATTGGTGCTTTTCCTAATATCACTGCTAGTCACAAAAGGACAAACTTACTGTGAAAATTTGCTATTTTCTGCATATAGCTCAGCACATTAGGACTTACCTTTGGCTGATACTTGATAAGCTGTGGATGGTTGTATAAATTAGAGTATGTGCCTAAAAAAAAAAAAAAATTACTGACTTCCTACTAGATTTGTAATCTTGGTGTTTTCACAGTACAAAACAACACTGAAGTCTCTCTCTCTCTCTCTTTTTTTGTTTTGAGTTGGAGTCTCACTCTGTTGCTCAGGCTGGATGAAGTGCAGCAGCATGCTCATGGCCACAGCTGCCTTGAACTGCTGGGCTCAGGTGATACTTCCACCTCAGCCTACCAAGTAGCTGGAACTATAGGCACACACCACCACACCCAGCTAATTTTTTGATTTATTCTAGAGATGAGGTCTCAACAAGTTGTTCAGGCTGGTCTCGAACCTATGGACTCAGGCAATCCTCTCACCTCAGCCTCCCAAAGTGCTGGGATTATAGGCATGAGCCACCACGCTGGGCCAGAGTCTCTCTTATAAACTGCTTACAACTCAGTAATATGAGTATTGCTCTTTTCAAACCATTTTCACAAATTCCCTAAAGTCTAACTTCTACTCTGTGTACCTTTTCAAAGTTGATGTACTTAATTCTTTAAATTGCTATTACACCTTTAACAGTAAAATGAACACGAATATACTTACTGCAAATGGATTCACAATCCCACTTCTCTTTGGCTTCTTCAAGAACTACAGTAATGATTTCTTCTTCCTCAGACTCATCAATCTCATTCATTGGCAGGTCTTGATCCTCAAAGGGTTCAAGGGTATTCAATTTTACACAACTTTTGATTGCATTTTAAAAATGAAGACAGAAGAGGAAAAAAAAACATCATTATGCTTTATGTCACTAAAACTGTACTTTAAGACCACTGGAAAAAACAGCAATTTTTAAAAATCCACATATTCCTGTGCCCCTGTCACTTCCTATCAAACTTCTTTCTACCTAGCCCTGTCTCTTCCCCTTATTGCGTTCTGGACATTCATTCTGCTTGCTGATAAGTAGGGAAGATCTAGCTGAGTTTTGCAAGATTATAATACATTAAACAAGACAGCAGCTTTCTTATGAAAACAGGCTTCTTTAAAGCCTAGAAAAGCTTAAGCCCATCTGTCTCTCCAAAATATTCAAACATTCAGTAAAAGTATATACCTCTTTGTTCTGCTGTGGGATCAACCTATTAGTGATCGTGAACATCAGACCTTTTTAGCAGATTTAAGCACCATATCAAGTTCTCTCAGAGAAGAGCCACCTTGATGTGGATGCTGATTAGCCAAGTAACTGACTTGCTTGTTTTGCTAATCCAACTGGAGAGAAAATGCTTCTTATCTTTCCATAAGCCATAAATATCTACTTCTCAGAACACCTGGCGTTTCAGAAAGATGAAATAAACAGTATAATTTGACTGTATAAGTCAAAATAATTCTTCAGTCAAAAAGGCTAGAAGCACCATCTTATTTTCTAACCCTTAGTTACCTTATCATGACTCTTAAGTTAAAAATACAGAGAGAGTGTTTCCCTGTGTGCTCCATCGTCACATTGCACTTTAGAATTCTTAATACCAAAATGTAGGCAAAACAGATGAGCTACAGATGAATCCAAGTTTATCAGAAAACATATCATTTTTTTAAACCTCCCATCTTTTTTTTCTTTTTCTGTCTCTTTCATTTTCTTAATATGGATTCTGACTAGGTAGATCTTTTCTTCAATTCAGTTATACAACTATAGACCTTATCTGGAGATTTTTAGAAAAAATAGCAAAACAGCATTAAACAAGAAAAAGAAAAGTCACCATACTTCTCTGCCTTTTCTTTATAGTAGTCATTTAAAACTTCTTGTAAGCGATTGCTGTCTACTTGAATGGAACCTTCCAGTTCAGCATTATCCAGAGCTCCAATTTCATCATCATCATATTGCTCATAAAACTTGAATATAAACAGAAAGTGAAAAACAAATGTACCAGTAATTTGCGATTTACATTTAGACTGAAAATAGGCTTCCACTTCACATATAAATGAAAGGTAGCTAAGTCACTCAGCTTGAAGAATAAAATGCTAGGCAGAGACCTTTATTGCAAACATTTTTGAAGACACTTTCAAATTTCTTGGTTATACAAACAGTTGGTGTAACTGAACAGTCTCCTACCAATATATAAATTCCATTCTTGTTTAGACAACATTTACTGTATTATTCAAATGCTGTTATCACTGGCAGCCTTTGTCAAAGAGTAAGCAGGGGGTGATTTAACTCCTGAAGCGTGAGATTATTCGTATTAACAGTTTACCTCTCCAGAGAGACGAGAGAAACTAATATTTTGTGAGAAGGTAGCTAAGTTGGAAACTTTATCTTAGATTCACCTTAAAAGAAACCACTTCTTCAAAAGTGATGAAGAAAGAGTCTGAACTACCATATGCTAGACACCACTGTAGAGCAAAATACAACAAAAATCTCTGCCCTTGGGGAATGCCTTCTAATCAGAGACAAATTTATATACATAATAAAGAAGCATGTTAGAGATGATGTGAGGGGGTGCTAAGTGCTACAGGACAGGATAGGTGGGGTAGAGAACCTGTACAGACTGGCTACAGGATGGGCTCACAAACTCTGGCGCTAATACATCACAACACCATCAAATCCAGTACAATACAATTCAAGCTTTTATAGTATCCTATACTCTAACTCCATTCTGTTCCTCAGTGTTAGTTATGTCTGAAAACTCCAAATGAGAAACTAAAAGAAATGAAAATGTATACGTTCAGACCAAAGCGTTAGGAAAACAGCAACTTATGGATTAGTTGAAGAACTTCAGAATCAAAATGGCAGAACTCAAAAAAATCAGAATGTTTGATCTGATAAGTCCTTTTGATCTATACACATTCTTTCTAGAATCAAAACTAAGGGGGTTTTAAGCTCTGTTTTAATACTAAAAATTTTAGCTTTTGTCCCAATCTCTCTTTCAATAAAATTTACCAGGAGACAACATTAAAATGTCCCTTATTTTGGGACCTTACCTTCTCAAACCTCTCATCATGTAGGGTCAGCTGTTCGTTTCTCCTCATGACTGAAGAAGTCATAGAATACTGTGTGAAGCGACTTTTCGTTTCCTCATCCCAGAACAAGTGATTTTCGATAGCTCCATGACGTTTTCCATGAGCAGACATATCATCTTCATCTGATAAGGGGCCTGCGGAGTCACAGTCATCATCTTCACTATCTTTTCCCTTCTCATCATCCACATCTTCCCACTCACTATCTTCTTCATTCTCAGATTTCCTAAAGTCAAGGAGTCATACATAAATTACCTGTCAAAATAACTTTTAAAATAACAGAACAAAACAACTTTACAGAAGTAAAACTGGAGGGCATTTCAGGAGAGGTACTTGTCTAGGTAGGAAGACCAATGCTGCTTGACCAATCTGGTATAGTAAGAAAAGCAATTAGGGATAATCAAGACCCAAGGACCTTAGCCCCATCTATTGATAGCTTGTAAAGACCACATGTTGCACACTTTCTGCTTTAAGTACAGAAATCTCAGATTAAACACCCAAAGTTCTCTTCCAACTGTAAAGTCCTATGGTTACCATCCCACCGGAGAAGCAAAAGTCAGGTCATCCTGCTTTGAAACAAACCATACACACTGTATATCCATTCCCTCTTCCTCTCCTGTTGGCTTATTGGCCTGAAGAATAAAGTCATCTTCCAGCAGATTATCTGGATTATCAAAGTCAAAATCATCATCAAGCGCTGCAACAATGTCAGGATCAAAATCCAGTCGTGGCCCTAGAAGGAAAACAAAAATTGTGCAATAATTCCCAAGAAAGCACAATTCATTCACTTAACTAATACAACCTGAATGTCTATAATATACCAGATTTTATTTGTATACTGAGGATAAAAGAAGGATGAAGAACTTTAGGTTCAATTTAGTGAAGAACAGACATAAAGACGAATTTCAAGACAAATTTTATAAAAAGGAAAAAAATCCCTCTCCTTTCCTTATCTATTGGTAAAAACACTCTTCCATTACAGATCTATAAAATTAAACTTTTTCTATTTAGCAGAATTCAAAGCTTTCACCTACATGAAGAAATGGGCTTTAGACTCACCCGTCAGAAGTAACTCATATTAACTATTTGTAGACGTTACACTTTCAGTCTTTTCAGGCTATGAGATTTTAATAAATCACTGCCTGTTTCTTCAGCTAATTCTTCCATCTATAAAATTACTAAAGTTCAAGAAAAACCTTCAAGTTCAAACTTAAAAATCTGACACAGCCTGTGACACCCTCTGCCATAAGGCCATTGCTTAACTCTGGCCTCATTTCTTTCTAACCCATACCCTTCCTTCTAGGCATGCTAAAATGTATGCAGTTACCTACATTCATGTCTTCTTGCTTTTGCATGTACAGTTCTCTGCCTGGAATGACCTCTTTCCCAATGCTCTCTCATACCACCTGCCTAACTTCTATTTAAGAAACCAACTCAGATATTGCTTCCTTTAGGAAGCCTTGTTCAGCTCCCTGAGGCTGCATTTGGTGCCCCAGCCTTAATATTCATCCATCTATAACTGAAATTTTTTTGTTTACTATCTTTCCCAACTGAGTAAGTTACTTAAGGTCAAGGACTCTGCTTTATCTGGTTTAATCCAAGACCCTACCACAGAGCAGTAACTAAAAAATCTAGAATAAATTAATAAAATAAATGAATGCCACAGGGCACGTGAAAGTCAGTAATTAAGAAAACTTATGAGAAAATACCAAACATCACTTCTGTGGATCTTGTGTTTGTTTTAAAATACAGTGTTGCTACTAAAAAAAATTTTTTTAATTTCTTTTTCAACATGTCTGGTATCAATGGCAAAATGAACTTCTATAAAATTATTTGCGTGCTCGAGAGAAATTTTGAAAAACAGATTATTTTTCAAAATTACACCGTAAGTAACGAATGATGAATATAATTGTTATTTTTGTAAGAGGTCAGGTAAGGTAAAAAGTCCTCTATTCGATCACCAAGAACAGGAACTCTATTTCTGAGTTAAAGAGGATCTCCAAATCGGAACTCTAAAGATGTAATAACCTGATGATAGTAATACAAAAGGACATGGGTCACACTCATCCCTTCCTAATAATCTCTATTCTCAATTCCAGACACAATTCAATTGTTTCAACACCTCATTAGAGATTTTTTAAAAATCCTACAACATTATGCTACATTTCTTTATGCAAAACACAGGTTTAACCACATGAAGCTAAAGAAATTAAACACACCTGAAACTGGAGCTGCTTTATTTAATAATCCAATATCTTCCTCAAACTCCGATGCAAACACTGATGACGGCAACTTAATTCCAGTGCTCTTGAAAAAGAAATTACACAATGGTTAGATGTAGAAGTACTTCTGAACTGGACTGAAATGTGTCCCTGCAAAATTCATGTCCACCCAGAACCTCAGACTGTGACCATGGATGACAGAGTCACTGCAATTATAATTAGTTAAGATAAGGTCATACTAGATTAGGGTGTGCCCATATAAGAAGGTCTGGTGAAGACACAAAGACACACAGGGGAGAATGTCATGAGATGAAGACAGATTGGAGTGAAGCATCTAGAAGCCAAGAAACTCCACAGACTGATCGCTGGAAACCTCCAAAAGCTAGGAGTGAGGCATGCTAGATTCTCTCTCGGATCCCCCAAGTAAAAAACCAATACTGCTAGTACCTTAATTTCAGACTTTTAGTCTCCAAAACAGTGAAAGAACACATTTCTGTTGTATTCAGTCATCTAGTTTGTGGTCATTTGTTACTGCAGTCCTATGAAACTGTTACAACTACATTCTGTATTCTCTCACCTGTGTCCCAAGGTTATTTTTTTAATCATATATATTCCATCACCACCTCAAAAGCAACCTTCCTACAATACTTCATGTTTTCTCTAGTACGTTATCCCATTTAATCCTCAAGTCCCATGAGATATCAGTATGTTTCAATGAAAGAACTAAAGCTAAAGGTTAAATGGCATGCCTGCCTGTGACTGTAAAGTTCTGGGATTCAAATCTGAGTCTTATCTGAAATTTCAAAACAAAAACTATTTTTCCTCTTAAACTATTATTAATGGCACAGCCTCTGGATTGACTATCTTAAATCCTAGAGCGGTTACAAATCATCCTCCTGTATAGTGATTTCACTCTGCTCCTTTGAGTACTATCTTATTTATGGTTAACCAAGCCAAAAACTTCTGCAATTGCTCAGTCTATACTTAATATAACCTACAAACCCACTGCCAGATTAAACTCCCTAATATTTTTATCATGTGACCTTTCTGAACTTATAACCGGTCTTAAATTTTCATTCTACAGTGTTAAAGCACCTTGTTTTCAAAGTCCTATAAAATCAAAGCCTATTCTGTGTACCCAAATTTCCCAATGTTATTCAACATGGCCATGCAAATCAAGTCCAGTTCCTCACTATCATGTAATAAGTAATGTGACAGACCCCACAATGATAGCTTATGTCTCTCTTCTTGGCCGAAACCTTCCTTCTTCTCCCTTTAATAGTACCCACACTTTAGTAGTCAGCTCAGTTCCTACCTCAAGCATGAAGCCCTTCCTGACTACTATCCTAGAACTCTCCTTTGTGCGAACTCCCTACATTCATCACATGCTGCAATCTACTTAAATAAATCTATTAGTGTGTATTCTCTGACTGATCCTTACTAAGCTTTAGTTTCCTCTCCTCAGCCAACTAGTCAGTCACGTGAGGGTAACCACCATGTCTTATCTGTCTCTATATTCCTCATCACCCATACTGTTCTCAGTCCAGTAGAGGCACACACCTGGATTGCATGCCTTTACTGTCTCATTGAGGGCACTCTGAATTGGAAGCCTCTGAGGGGCATGAGTAAAGGCTACATGTGGCAGTACACACACAGTAGGATGACATGGCTTCCAAAATAAGCTTCTCAGTAGCATAAACACAGGCAAAAATCCATTTTTTTTGTGCTTTTTTTAAAAACAAACAGCTTTACTATGTATAAGTCACAGTAAACAATTCACCTATTTAATTTTACAATTTAGTATTTTTAAAAACACATTACAATATTAATTCTTTATAACTGTAGTAAGATCTATGTAGTCTTTTAGGTTTTTTAAAGGTACTCTTTGTGATTATCTAACCTTAGAATAATCACAAAGATAACCTAATAGATATAACCCCTTACAATTTACAGTTTAAAAAGGGGGGAGAAGGTCAGCTTGTGTTTAATGACTGTACCTTTGGGAGACATTTCAAATCTTGGAAAGCAGTCAAAAAAATCCCACCCAGGATGAGAGTTTAGACAACGACTGCTTTTCTTTTTGGAGGAGTGGTAGTAGTTCTCATCCATGTTGAGTTTGTCAAGCTACTTTCTACCATGGAGCACCCTCTTCCCTTCATGTGCAAATCAGGGCCTGCTCAAGTATTATCCATTTCTATGCTGCCTTGCACTCTGTTTCTAGGAATTAGTCAATATTTCTAGTCTTTTCCAATTTGGTGGTTTGTTACAAAGTAAAATAAAACAAAAAGTATATGGAGCTAATTCATATTTTTGTACAGCACGGTAACAGAAGTGTTCATTTAAGAGCCTTATTCTGTTAAAAAGCCAATTAGCAATTACTATTACTCATAATGAATTAAGGACTAAAAGCTAGTCTTTTGCTAGTCAATATAATTCAGCCAAGTAAGACTTTATTAAAACTTTTCTTCGTTAGATAAAGAAGTTGAGCCACTACTGAACCTCTCCTCTCCCTCAATGGGTTATAGAAGCCAGTGAGTCAGTAAGGTAAGTACTCTATTACTGACGGAATAGCCATAGGGAAGAAGGATTAGAGAAGTTGCTTCTATTATGATACAGATGTGACAGTGGAATCTGGGGCTTTACCAAAGAGCCACAATCTACTTAGTGAATGAAAGCAACAGTTATTACCTCTTTCTTTGGGATGATACCCTGAAATCTAACCCTTCTGCCTCTCCTCAAGCAACAATCTATGAACTCAAAGAGCTACAGTCACATCTTCCCAGAGGAAAGGAATACTCAGACAATGACAGGATTGGAGACCGAAGAGCAGGGAAAACTGGTGCCCTTTTAATCTCTTCCCTTTTGTTTATAAACCTGATGAATGTCTCCTTTTTTTTCAAGTTTCCCTCAGGGAAATCCACTCTGTATTAATTAAAAATAAGATAACAGGGGCATACAACATGGGCACCCTTAATATAAACAGGGGAAAAACAGAACTCAAATTAGTAGCACTAATATAAATAGGTGCTCTCATTTGTACTTAAGACAAAGTATTGACATAAACTGCACTTTTGTTTAATAGCATGCAGGAATTTCATTAGTCTCTTAATGCTTTCCCTTAATGGTTAGCCTGCAGCTTTTACAAAAGTGTTAAAGATCTGAACTTTCCACAAAAGTTAAGCTCAATTTTAGAACAGAGTTTACAATCCTGAAACAGTTGTTAACATGCAGAAAGTCAGCTGCTTTTCTTCTACAAAAAAGTGCTGCTTAATAAGGCCATGTCTATCAATCAAAAGTTCTAAACCTGACAAAAGGCTGTTACTGTTGACACCTGCCACCATAAAAGAAGTGGCCTACTCTCTCCTGATGTATACATGTGCACACACAAACATACAATTTTTAAGTGGAGGCATGGTCATCTTTGTGCTTGTTACACTGACACCACCTCTCACCCCAAACTATTATATTGTTCTGAAAATGGTTTCACCTCACTCCCACACTTACTCCCTCCCACTTAAATTGCTAAAAAGTCTGACCGGAATTACTAAAGTTTCTTCTTTCTCATCTCTGCTGTTGTGTGCACTGAAAGTACTAGAGGGAATAAGCTCTGAAGGCCCAGATGGTTCCCTCAGGTGCTGCAGATAGTCATAGTCATCATCAAAGAACACTCCAAACTTCCTTTGTTCTGCCCGCCTTTCTTCATCATTTACCTTGGATAATAAACAAAATGGAATTAGTACTCCTTTCGAGGATAAGACATAAGAACCTTATAATAAGCACAACTTTCCAAACAGGAGATGGCACATAAACATTCTGGCTGACAGAAATAAGAAAAAAAAAATCTTGACAAATTCAGGAAATACAGAGCTTCTAAACCAGAGTACTACATAAAACTAAAATGGAATTATATCAATTCCTCCTTTCACTAGACATTTCTGTTCAATAATCTGAGTCAAGAAACAACACACGGCCAGGCGCGGTGGCTCAAGCCTGTAATCCAAGTACTTTGGGAGGCGGAGGCGAGAGGACTGCCTGAGCCCAGGGTTTAAGACCAGCCCGGGCAACTTGGTGAGACCTTGTCTCTATAATATATCAAAAAGTTAGCCAGGCGTGGTATCGCGCACCTGTAGTTCCGGCTACTTGGAAGGCTGAAGCAGAAGGATCACCTGAGCCCAGTGGGTCGACACTGGGGTAGCCATGAATGTGCCACTGCACTCTAGCCTGGGCGAAAGAGTGAGACTCTGACCGCCCCCTTCAAAAAAGAAAGAACAACACACACACACACACACACAGACGTTTTATCATTATAAGACTTGAAGGCCTTAAAAGGTAAGTACAGTTTCTTTTATATGCACATTCTTTTTTTTTTGAGTTGGAGTCTCACCCTGTCGCCCAGACTGGAGTGCAGTGGTCGCTCCCGGCCACCGCAGCCTCGACCTGCTAGGCTCTGGTGATCCTTCCGCCTCAGCCTTCCAAGTGCTGGAACTACAGGCATGCGCTACCACGCTCGGCTAATTTTTGACTTATTGTAGAGATGAGGTCTTGCCAAGTTGCCCAGGCATTCTTTTATATGTACATTTATATGCAGAGAAGCTTCTCAGTGTACTACAAAACTGGCTTTACTGAAAAGCTAAGCATAGCCAAAGTTCCCCAACACTCCCTTTCTTGTTAACAAGTCTAACAGTAAAATAATCAACCTTTTCAAGGCTCCCTTGAAGTTTCCAAAACTAACCCAAAAGTTTAGATGTTTTACATTTCATAAGCAACAAGGAGGCAAAATGTAGTTTGTAGTTATGAAATGGCTGAATCTTAGGGAAAGCAGAAATTGAGCATATGCTTGTGACCTAAAAATAATATCATGCAGCACTGCTGGTGGCTCAGTAAATATTTACCATCACTCCAAAAGATTTGTTAACTAAAACATCTCAAAGATGCTTTATCCTACCAATCAAAATAAAATGCATGTAAAAATCAGCACATGTACTGAAAATTAAGTCAGATTATTTCGCAGAAGATGTTATGTGAGAATAACAGTTGGCTAACAATTAAAAACTACTAACAGTCCACCTACAAACGCACTGACTAAAGAACAGGACCTACTTTTTGTGTGGGCAACAGAACCCTTTGGGGTGCAGTCTCATCAGCTGCTAAAGGATCTCGTTGGCTCCGATGAACCAAGTGAAAAGACACAGCTTTCTTCTTCTCTATAAAGGGCTTTTTCTTCCTGTGAGGCTTCAAAGGAACAGAATCAGAACAAGTTATTAACAGAACAAAAAAACCCCATAATAATCCCATAGTGCACACATGCATTGTCTACAAATCATGTGAAGGATCAACAGATTTTCTTAAATCTACACGTCCAGCACAGGCAATACCAGCTGTGTTCTGTAGAAACCATACTTAACCTTCACTTAACAAGCATTTGTTGAGCACCTACTCTGTGCCACACCTTGCTAATGGAAATGTAATACAGCAGTGGGAAAGATTAAGTCCCTATTATTAGGAAGAAAATAAGCAACATAATGATTTCAGGTGAAGAAATTATACCATGCGATGTGAAAATGACTTGAGTTACTTTAGATTGGGTGCTCAGGGCAGGTCTCAGGCAGGATGAACCAGTGTGTCAAGCAGCCAGCATCAAGGAAAAGTTAGATTGACAGTTCCAAATAGGGCAAATACTTCATCTCCCAACTAGTAAATAGAACCACAACACAAACAGCTGAAGTTTAATAAGATCCATGGTTCCTTTCCACATTCGTATTTCACTATTCAATCCTGGTTCTCTAAACGGAGAAACTACCTGAGTATATAGCCTTACTTTGGGCCCAACCTTAGACTCTCCCACAAGTTCCTTTACCCTAAGCAAGCAGACAGCTAGACACACCTGCCACTCCAGCGCCTGGAAGATCAGTAACTCCCTCTGCCTGACCCCAAGAAGCACAGGGTGGCACGATTATGTCTGGTGTCCCAGATTTTTAGTCAACCGAACGCACGCAGAGCTGCAGGTCCCCAGGGAAGTAAGGGGAGCCATTCTCTCCCAGCCACTCCCCAGAGAGGCTCAGTCGTGGGAAACTGTAACTTGCAAAGTCGGTCCAGGGTGACTAGGGGGACTCGTTCCGGGTACCGTTCCGCGAGCACCCTCTGGCATTACCCAGACGCAGGCCGCCGTAGCCTCCGGCATTACCGGAACCAGCCCGGCCCCTGTGAAACAGCGCCCCGCCTCCGAGGCAACATTTGCTCACCATGCTGCAGTCCCGCGGCGCTCACCCCCCTAAAAGAGCGGTGCCCACACCCTCAAAACCGAGGGGGCGACTAAGTCTCAGCTCACAACCGCGACTTTAGGCCTCGACACACGTGCCACCCCAGGACCCAGCCGGCTCTGGAAACGGACCAATCGCGGAGGGAGCGCGTGGATCGAGACAGGAAGTGACGTCACTGACCCCACACCCCCCCCCAACGATCGCGAGAGGTTATTGGGGGTGGGACTAACTCGGTTGCCACTCCTGAGCGGGCGGCGCTTTTCCGGTTAGACATCACCCACCGGTTGAAAGGAATTCTCGGGCGCCTTTGCGTCGAAGTGCAAACAAAAGGGTTGCTGCTGATAGTGAACCTCCTTTTATAGCGCCCTCTGTCGAGAGCAGACGGCACCCAGACTAGCACTCTCAGTGTGTCCCTTACCTATTTCCAACCATAAAAAAAACAACTGTATACATAAGGGTGGCGGCCACCTTCCTGGGTCACCAAGGTTTCAGCTTCTCTCTCTTCTGGGCGGGGGCGGAGTCTGTTGCCTTGGCAACGCAGGACCGGGGCCTCGATGTTGCTGATTGTACCAGACTTCATCAGGTCTTTATTTTCTACCGATGCTTCCATCTGTCCCGTGAATAAAACCCCCGAGACTGTTGACTGTGGAGTCATTTGCATTAATAAAATATATCCAGAATGTCTGGTGTCTGCATGTCTTGTTATAAGGTGGTGACGAATATACATTCTCTCCCACGGCTTAAACAGGCTATTCTTTCTCAGGAAGATTTCAGGCCCGGGCCAGAGCAATCACATAGTTTTCCTCGAACAAACGAGTGCGGTAAATGCATTCAAAATCTTACCAGACCTTTTCTCAAATTTGTTTCCCCTTCCTGATTTCTGATGTCGCCCCAATGTCTGAGTTACCTTGGATTGTGTTTTTATTATCACCATATGTGGAGTATTATTCTTTATTACCATAAAATTTATAGAAACAATGTAAGTTAGAACCACAAAACTCGTCTTGGGATATTGTTTTGTAACATAGAGATAATACATATCACTCCTATGTACTAGGCATTTGTTGTTACTTTTTGTGATATAGAATCAAGATCCATTAGGGCAGGTTTTGCTTCTTTTCAATCGGTTTTGTTTACTATTGTCTCTATCTTCAGGGGCTAGCATGGTGCCTGGCACGTATATTCAGTAAACATTTGTGTAAATGAATTAATATTCTGGCACTTTACCTGAATCATCTCCTTTCTTCCTTACCACACACTGTGAAAGAAATGCCATTATCTTTATTACCTTACCAATAAGAAAAAATGAAGCATAAAAAAGTTAAGTAACTTCTTTAAGGTGACACAATTAGTAAATGGCAGAGAAAGGATTTGAACCTAAGGAGTCTGATTAGCCACCTAACCACCTTGCTTGCTTTTTTTTGTTTTGCTTATTTTATGTATTTATTATTCTAAACTCTAAACACACTTTGCATTCATTATGTCATTTAATCCCATCAACAAGCCTGTTAATTACGAACAGAAAACACTAAGCCAATCTCTCAGATGTGGAGTCTGAGGTTCAGAGAATTGAAGTTACTTACCCAAAGTCACACAGTAAATAGTAAAGCCTGAAAGCATAGCCCATCAGACCGGTTTAGGAAGCCCATGCCTTTATTCATATGCTATATTGCTTCCCTAAGGCAGTCAATCAGAAAATTCCGTCCATTCCACCTTCTAAATATCCAAATGTATCATTCACTACCCATTTTATCAAATTTATCATTTTAGCACTCCAATCAAGTAACTTCCCTGTATAACATCCTTTGATACCTACCCTCTGGTCTCAGAATAAACTCTTTGGCTCATCTGGTCCCCAGCCATCAATTTAATATCGTTTCCCCTTATTCTCCAACATTCCACTCATAACTCTGCCTTAACAGCTTGTAGTTCCCAAATGTACCTGAAAGATATTTACTCTCTCCTGCCCACCTAAAGGCTTCTTCCTCTGCCCTCCTTGTTCTTCTTAGTTTAGCCAGCTGTTCCTTCTGGTCATACCCAAGGCTGTCCCAAAAGGAGCGGTGGGGGGATTCCTGCAAGGGACTTCCCCAAACCACCCTGAGATGGAGCCAGTTGGAAATTCAAAGAAAAGCATTAACAACACAGTGATCAGTCCAAGGGATTTATTAGAGAACTTACATACAGGGAACTTCAGTGGACAGCAAGAAGAGACGTACCAGGTACGTCTGCAACTAGGGAGTCTAGCTATGGAGTTTATATGTGGGTTTAGAGAAAGTGGCTCAGCGCTGGGGCTAGTTTCTTTGTATTTGGCAACGTATTTTGATCTTTCAGTGTTTGAAGCAATAACCTACACAAATTTATCAGTGCCTGGAAATGTTCAAGGCCCCGGCTTAAGTTCAAGCCTGCAGGGGAAAAAAACAAAAACAAGAACCCATGCAGCTGGCCAGGTCATAGAGCGGTCAAGGCAATCTGTTTTTCAGTCAGGATACAGAAAGAAAGTGGGGGAACTGAAGGACCCTACACTGTCTCTGCCTGTAGGAAACTTTCTCGTATTTTTCAAAACTAGGGCCAATGCTGAATGTTCTCATTGTATCCTGTGATTATACTACTCAGTGAATTGAATTGTAAATCCTTATTTTCTGCTGAGCACGGTGGTTCATGCCTGTAATCCTAGCATTTTGGGAGGCCAAGGCAAGAAGATTGCTTGAACCCAGGAGTTCGAAGCCAGCCTGGGCAACATAGCAAGACCTTATCTCTCTCTTTTTTTAAATTTGTATTTTCATCTGACTCTAGAACTAGACTGTAGTCACCTACTTGAAAGCAAGGATCTTTGTCTCGCTTATTGTACTTCTTCAGGGCCATGTATAGTAAAGGCCCAATAATTCCAAAAATGGTTCAAAGCACTTTATATATATTTACTCATTAAATGCAACGTGCTGGGCACAGTGGCTCACACCTGTAATCCCAGCACTTTGGGAGGCTGAGGTGAGAGGATTGCCTGGTTTGAGAACAGCCTGGGCAACTTAGTGAGACCTTGTCTCTACAATAAATCAAAAAATTAGTTGGGCATGGTGGTGTACACCTGTAGTTCCAACAACTTGAAAGGTTGAGGCAGAAGGATCACCTGAGCCCAGCAGGTCGAGACTATGGTGGCCATGAGTGTGCCAGCCTGGGTGACAGAGTGAGACTTTCACTAAAAAAAAAAAATCCTGACAACAGGATTTAAGTAGGTATACTATTATCCTTTTTTTTTTTCTAAGTAGAGATTGAAGAACATAAATTTAAGTTACTTTTGTCCCAGGGTTGAAAGACAGTAAGTGTTGAAGGGACAAAGTAAACTCAGTTGTAGCTTGAGAGTCAAACCCTTAACTATTACAATACTATATATTCCATTTATTCCATTTCAAAAAGATATCTCAACATATAAGGTAAGCTTACATGTGTCAGAGACTAAGTGCTGTCTTAATGCTGCAAAATATTATTTGTTACCATTAAAAACACAAATAAGCCGAACACAGTGTTTCATACCTATAATCCCAGCACTTTGGAAGGCCAAGGTGGGAGAATTGCTTGAGCCCAGGAGTTTAAGACCAGCCTGGGCAACATAGAAAGACCTCGTCTCTACAAAAAATAAATTAGCCGGGCATAGTGGCACATGCCTGGAGTCCCAGCTACTTGTAAGGTTGAGGTGTTAGGAGCACCTGAGTCCAAAAGGTCAAGGCTGTGGTGAGCTGTCATTGTGCCACTGCACTTCAGCCTGGGTGACAGTGAGACTCACACACACACACACACACATACACACACAGCACAAATAATTGAAATATTGCAGTAATAATAATAAATCCAAACCAAATTTCTCCTACTCTTTTAATGGTATCCATTTAAAAGTTGTTGAACAGGATTCTGGTTCATTCTAGGCTTTGAAAATGTTCTTTACATTTCTATGAAACTAACTCACTCAATGAAATTGTGTTTACCATTTCCGCCCCATTCATATCACATTTAGTGTTTCTCCAACTTAGCGAACTACTTTCCATCAGCATCACTCAAGGATTCCCAAGCACCAGGAAACCAATGTACACAAAAGTGGAGGAAAACAACTACACGTTGAAGCAGTAACTTCAGGAGCTATAAACTAAATGCTTGACAATACTAGTAGAGCTTATGGAGGCGCTTAATTTATAAAAAGGAAAAGTGTATCAAGACAAATGTAACAGGATATTCATGGTAGTACTGCTTGTAAAAAAGAAAAATGAAACAATTAAAATTCCATTAGTGAGCTGGTTGTAGGGCCCAGAGTTTGAGTCCAGCCTGGGCAACAGTGAGACCTTGTGTCTTAAAAAAAGGAAAATTCCATTAGTAAGGAATTAATTGATACAACAAACAAACTATTCATACATTAAGCTATGGTGAAGCTGGTTTTGTTTTGTTTTAGATGGGGCCTCACTATGTTGCCCAGACTGGTCTTGAACTCCTGGGCTCAAGTGATCCTCATATTTCAGCCTCCTGAGTAGCTGAGACAATAGGCATTTGCAACCAGCTTCTGTTTAAAGAATTATTTTAAAAAAGGAAAACATTTTACACAGAAATATAGTGCAAGCACTACGAAAAAAATATCTGCAGCCGGGCACAGTGACTCATGCTTGTAATCCCAGTGCTCTGAAATCAAAAAACTGGCGGATGTGGTAGCAGGTGCCTGTAGTCCCAGATACTCAGAAGACTGAGGAGGGAGGATTGTCTGAGCCCTGGAAGTTGAGGCTGTGGTAAGCTGTTATTGTGCCACTACACTCCAACCTGGGTGGTAACCGAGTGAGGCCTGTGATTAAAAAAAAAAGCCAGCTGGGCTTGGTGGCTCAGCCTATAATCCCGCACCTTTGGGAGGTTGAGGTGAGTGGATTGCCTGAGCTCCGGGGGTTCGAGACCCGCCTGGGCAACTTGGCGAAACCTCATCTCTACAATAAAAAAAAAAAAAAATTAGCCGGGCATAGTAGCGCGCGCCTGTAGTTCCGGCTACTCGGAAGGCTGAGGCGGAAGGATCGCCGGAACCCAGCAGGTCGAGGCTGTGGTGGCCAGGAGCGGCCACTGCACTCCAGTCTGGGCAACAGAGTGAGACT